CTCCGACGTAACCCAGTATGAAAATTAAAGTTACGTCCCTGGATTGAACTCGAAATAAAAATTAAAGTTACGTCCCTAACTCTACCCCAAGGTTTCGAGTTACGCCCAGTGTAACCGAATATGAATATTAAAGTTACTTCCTAGGGAACTCGAAATAAAAATTAAAGTTACGTCCCACGTAACTTTACAACAAAGGTTTCGAGTTACCTCCGACGTAACCCAGTATGAAAATTAAAGTTACGTCCCTGGATGGAACTCGAAATAAAAATTAAAGTTACGTCCCTAACTTTACCCCAAGGTTTCGAGTTACGTCCAGTGTAACCGAATATGAATATTAAAGTTACTTCCTAGGGAACCCGAAATAAAAATAAAAGTTACGTCCCACGTAACTTTACCCCAAGGTTTCGAGTTACCTCCGACGTAACCCAGTATGAAAATTAAAGTTACGTCCCTGGATGGAACTCGAAATAAAAATTAAAGTTACGTCCGTAACTTTACCCCAAGGTTTCGAGTTACGACCAGTGTAACCGAATATGAATATTAAAGTTACTTCCTAGGGAACTCGAAATAAAAATTAAAGTTACGTCCCACGTAACTTTACAACAAAGGTTTCGAGTTACCTCCGACGTAACCCAGTATGAAAATTAAAGTTACGTCCCTGGATGGAACTCGAAATAAAAATTAAAGTTACGTCCCTAACTTTACCCCAAGGTTTCGAGTTACGTCCAGTGTAACCGAATATGAATATTAAAGTTACTTCCTAGGGAACCCGAAATGAAAATTAAAGTTACGTCCCACGTAACTTTACCCCAAGGTTTCGAGTTACCTCCGACGTAACCCAGTATGAAAATTAAAGTTACGTCCCTGGATGGAACTCGAAATAAAAATTAAAGTTACGTCCCTAACTTTACCCCAAGGTTTCGAGTTACGTCCAGTGTAACCGAATATGAATATTAAAGTTACTTCCTAGGGAACTCGAAATGAAAATTAAAGTTACGTCCCTAACTTTACCCCAAGGTTTCGAGTTACGTCCAGTGTAACCGAATATGAATATTAAAGTTACTTCCTAGGGAACCCGAAATGAAAATTAAAGTTACGTCCCACGTAACTTTACCCCAAGGTTTCGAGTTACCTCCGATGTAACCCAGTACGAAAATTAAAGTTACGTCCCTGGATGGAACTCGAAATAAAAATTAAAGTTACGTCCCTAACTTTACCCCAAGGTTTCGAGTTACGTCCAGTGTAACCGAATATGAATATTAAAGTTACTTCCTAGGGAACTCGAAATAAAAATTAAAGTTACGTCCCTAACTTTACCCCAAGGTTTCGAGTTACGTCCAGTGTAACCGAATATGAATATTAAAGTTACTTCCTAGGGAACTCGAAATAAAAATTAAAGTTACGTCCCTAACTTTACTCCAAGGTTTCGAGTTACGACCAGTGTAACCGAATATGAATATTAAAGTTACTTCCTAGGGAACTCGAAATAAAAATTAAAGTTACGTCCCACGTAACTTTACAACAAAGGTTTCGAGTTACCTCCGACGTAACCCAGTATGAAAATTAAAGTTACGTCCCTGGATGGAACTCGAAATAAAAATTAAAGTTACGTCCCTAACTTTACCCCAAGGTTTCGAGTTACGTCCAGTGTAACCGAATATGAATATTAAAGTTACTTCCTAGGGAACCCGAAATAAAAATAAAAGTTACGTCCCACGTAACTTTACCCCAAGGTTTCGAGTTACCTCCGACGTAACCCAGTATGAAAATTAAAGTTACGTCCCTGGATGGAACTCGAAATAAAAATTAAAGTTACGTCCGTAACTTTACCCCAAGGTTTCGAGTTACGTCCAGTGTAACCGAATATGAATATTAAAGTTACTTCCTAGGGAACCCGAAATGAAAATTAAAGTTACGTCCCACGTAACTTTACCCCAAGGTTTCGAGTTACGTCCAGTGTAACCGAATATGAATATTAAAGTTACTTCCTAGGGAACCCGAAATGAAAATTAAAGTTACGTCCCACGTAACTTTACCCCAAGGTTTCGAGTTACCTCCGACGTAACCCAGTATGAAAATTAAAGTTACGTCCCTGGATGGAACTCGAAATAAAAATTAAAGTTACGTCCCTAACTTTACCCCAAGGTTTCGAGTTACGTCCAGTGTAACCGAATATGAATATTAAAGTTACTTCCTAGGGAACTCGAAATAAAAATTAAAGTTACGTCCCACGTAACTTTACCCCAAGGTTTCGAGTTACCTCCGACGTAACCCAGTATGAAAATTAAAGTTACGTCCCTGGATTGAACTCGAAATAAAAATTAAAGTTACGTCCCTAACTCTACCCCAAGGTTTCGAGTTACGTCCAGTGTAACCGAATATGAATATTAAAGTTACTTCCTAGGGAACTCGAAATAAAAATTAAAGTTACGTCCCACGTAACTTTACCCCAAGGTTTCGAGTTGCCTCCGACGTAACCCAGTATGAAAATTAAAGTTACGTCCCTGGATGGAACTCGAAATAAAAATTAAAGTTACGTCCCTAACTTTACCCCAAGGTTTCGAGTTACGTCCAGTGTAACCGAATATGAATATTAAAGTTACTTCCTAGGGAACCCGAAATGAAAATTAAAGTTACGTCCCATGTAACTTTACCCCAAGGTTTCGAGTTACCTCCGACGTAACCCAGTATGAAAATTAAAGTTACGTCCCTGGATTGAACTCGAAATAAAAATTAAAGTTACGTCCCTAACTCTACCCCAAGGTTTCGAGTTACGCCCAGTGTAACCGAATATGAATATTAAAGTTACTTCCTAGGGAACTCGAAATAAAAATTAAAGTTACGTCCCACGTAACTTTACCCCAAGGTTTCGAGTTACCTCCGACGTAACCCAGTATGAAAATTAAAGTTACGTCCCTGGATGGAACTCGAAATAAAAATTAAAGTTACGTCCCTAACTTTACCCCAAGGTTTCGAGTTACGTCCAGTGTAACCGAATATGAATATTAAAGTTACTTCCTAGGGAACCCGAAATGAAAATTAAAGTTACGTCCCACGTAACTTTACCCCAAGGTTTCGAGTTACCTCCTACGTAACCCAGTATGAAAATTAAAGTTACGTCCCTGGATGGAACTCGAAATAAAAATTAAAGTTAAGTCCGACCAAACTCAAAATAAAGAGTAAAGTTACGTCCGACAGAACCCGAAATAAAAGTTAAGTTAGGTCCCGTGTAACCTACGCATATGTTTCACTTTACGGCCTATACATGACGTAAATACAAAAATGTTGTGAATTATTACTGCGTTACGTCCGATAAAGCATTCGTGAAACGGTTAAAACCTCAACTCTATCCGTACCTTCAGCTTTGTTGAGAGGGCTGGGATGTGTTCCTCGCACATCGAGGCTGCTGAAGCTGGGTGGGTTCGATGCCCGTCACATACATTTTTTTCTTTCTTTTCTTTCCCCTCCTTTAAGACAGTTTATTGAATTTTTTTCAATATGAAAATACTTCTTGCTATCCTTGCCACATATGTTACACCTACTTGGAGCACTTGCTGGCTCACGCTGAGAGCAAAGTTGATATGGCTAAAGGTCAAGGGTTTATTGTCATTCTCACACCCAGGCGGCCCTCTCGAAACATCTTTTTATTTAAGACACTCTGGAAGAAAACACTGCCAAAGCTAGTGCGCGTGGCGACGTGAGTGGTACGAAGATTGTGCCACTTTTCAACAAATCTGCCGGAAACTCTGCTGCTGTAAATAACACAATCCTATCTCATATCACATTACCATTCTCTCTCTCTCTCTCTCTCTTAATAATTGCTTTGAATGTCCGCGATTCTCAGAAAGCGTCGCAAGAAATCGTCTTAAAGGAGGAAAAAATTAAAGAAAATGAAAACACGGGAAAGAAAAAAAATTAATGTGACGGGCTTCTATATCTGGAGGTACAGATAGAGTCTCGATTTAGCCAATTACCGAACGCTGCATTGGACATAACATAGTAATAATTTCCAATATGGTTGTGTTTACATAGGGTGAGCAGATGTCCCGTCTTGTCCAGGACAGTCCTGTTTTTGAGGTCCACTTCTGCTGTTCCATCTCTTTGTCCCAATAAAGAATGGTGTCCCGTTTTTGCAAGAGTGCATAGTTTCGAAATGAGCACCAAGCGAGTTGAAGCAAACCGAAACTATGCCTACTCGTTACAAGTATATTTCACAAAACTAACCGTAGGTACTTTAAAATTTTTACCCAGAGTAAAAATTAGAGAAACACTTTCCCAGAAACACTTTCCCAGAAACACTTTTTCTCTCACGAAGGCTCGTGTGTAGAAATATTTTTTTTTAGTTACTGAATATCTAGTATGCTAATGTTTTGATATGGCAGTTATTGCATTAATATTTTTCTTCCAATCTTAATCTTTAAATTGTCCCCTCCCTCCTCCTTTTCCGGACTGGGATGTCCTGTTTTCTACCTTGAGTAATATGGTCACCCTATGCTTACGTCATGTAGCAACCGTAAAGCGTAACATTAATAAGATTGCGTAGGTTACGCAGGATGTAACTTTAACTTTTATTGACGTCGGACTGTCGGACGTAACTTTCATTTTCATTTAAAGTTCCTTCGGACGTTAACTCAAAACTTTGGGGTAAAGTTACGTGGGACATAATGGATGGATGTAACTCTAATTTTCATTTTGGGTTCCCTCAGACGCAGTGCTAAACACTGCGTAAAAAGAAAGGCTCGAGTTAATCTCATTCTAAAGGGCAGGCAGCGTGGTCCTCAAGGAAATTTGGTATATGTGCCAGGTCACGTAATGCACTAAAGCCCAGCCGAATGGGCTTCTCCGCTACGCCTTGACTATCTTAGAAAGCCCAACTGAACGAGCTTCTCTGCTCCATCAAAGTAAATTGCTCGTGAAAAGGCGGCTTTCTCCCTTGGTTGTAGCTCCTCATTGCAAGCCGCCGCCGGCCCTAAGAAGGTTGGTCTGTCTCTCTGCCGCAGACTGGGGAGTTCCTCTGGGACCAGGTGACTCAGGGCTATGTGCTCAACGCATTCTTTTACGGCTACATCATCACCCAAATCCCAGGTGGCTGGGTGTCGGAGGTCATCAGCCCGGCCTGGATATTCGGCGGAGGCATCGGAATCACTGCCGTGCTCACGCTCTTCACTGCGGTTGTGGCGCGTGCGAGCCTGCCAGCCTTCCTGGTGCTTCGGGCACTCGAGGGGCTCTCTGAGGTGAGCTTCACACAGTGTGCCTAAATTTGAGGATGTTTAAAACTGCTCGATCGCAGTGACGTGACTTACGGGCCGCATTTGCAATACGAGCTGTGAGGAAGAGGCGAAGGTGTCGATCGCCCACGAGCATCTCCAAGGTTAACTCAGTCACTCTTCCCACCATTCTCCTTGCCACGTGACAGTGCACGCAAGCGTGTGAGCAACCAATTTGCGCAGGAGGTGGCGTCTGCCATTAAATAGCAAATTATGTGTATTGTTTGAGTTACTTCTAGGCTCCCTAGCTTCGCTGGGCAGGGACGTGCGGTCTCTCTCCGTTTACTCTTAGGTATGGTGTCTGGAATGCATATTCGACTGGCGTGTTTGGCGTACTGTCCCGTTCGTATGTGCCAAGAAACGACGCCACGGTAGCCAGAGTGTTGGATTTTTGAGTGTCGTGATCATGGCGGGTGGTTGTAGAAGTTCCAGCCAAAAGATTATAAGCTAATCCACCCTGCGAAGGTGGACGACCAGCAAGGCTGTTTAGCACACGACACAGACGGTGACGTTTGCTGCCCGCCGCCACCGCTGACATTCTCGTTGCCATCCCCGCCGTTGCTCTTCATAGGCGCGTTACTATTTGGGAGTCCAAACTCACGACCAACTCTATAAAGGGCGACCAGGTCAGCTCTCCCCTCTCTGTGGGAGCGCGTGTACCGGAAAATACCACGTGACCATGGCTGGGGACAGCGAAATCCGCCAGGCGCCGCCGCGTATCATCTCCAAATGCGCGCGCGGTCATACGCGACGGGCGGCGGTTGTGTTGATAAAACCCACGAGTTGGATTGTAACCTTTTCTGTCGACAACCGCACAGCTTTCTTGACATGTTCTGTAAACGGAGTAAAGCGACAGCGCTTTCTATTGCCGGTCTATTAATTAAGTTATTTATTTTTTTCCCCCTTTGAGAAGAGCTAAGTTATGTGAAGCCAACATAGAGCAATGGGAGTGTTTGCTTATCAGTATAGCTTCCAGTCCTATAACGCGGCCAGACGTACAGCGTTTTTTCTCACTTAATACGACCGGCTTCAGTTTGATACCTTTTGTAAAGAATGCACACCCAGAAATACTCAAAATTTCAATAAAAAGATGTCAGTTTCGGTTTTAGGGTATGGTTCTTCTCCACTGTCCAGTAATGAACATACTATTGTATACATGAAAAAAACGTATACTTAACCTCTTGAAATAATGCTGTAGGAAAGGCAAAAGCGTAAAAATGTTTAAAATAGACCATTAAAATAAGCAGACTCATAAAAATGGTTAAAATGAGAGACAGAGACAAGCTGTATATTTACTATTATTCTTTCATTTTCACTAGGACACAGACAACCAACTTTATTAGTGACGCACTAAATCGAAAGCAGTAACGAATGCAGTAAGCAGTATCAGATAAATTAATGACGTCTAACATGCTTATAATTAAAATATACACCCTGTCAACAAGTTCCGCGTCATCTGAAATTCGCGAGCTCCCAACATTAACACGTGAACATCATTCCTTCCGATGAATGACGGCTGATCCGGTACGTAGGTGTATCAGCATCACTGCATATTTAACTAAACGCTCAAAATGAGGAAGGTTATATACAGCGTCCAGCATTGGCAACACGGCGTGTAAAGGATGACGCTGTAAACTTATATGTACCACGACCTATTTTGTGTTATGAACATGAAGAGAACCTATTTTCTCTTTATGCTACATAGTTTGGTGGGTAACTGATTCGCCTTCTGCTTGGCAAGAGATTTTCTTCAGCCAGTCGTTCCGGATCTCCGTCACCGGGAACTCGTGGAAAGCGACCCCCGTCGAAGTCCGCGTGCTCGACTTGCACAGCGGCACACAGCAGAAGACCATCACAGCCTGTCGTTGAGTTTCACTTTATCATTAATGTTGAGCTTTTTACAGCCAGAAAAACCACGCGTCCACGCGTGCACGTGCCAAAAGACAGCTTGTACTAGCCTCCCCAGGCTTCCCGAGCCTACTAAGCAGCGGGGAAAGTGGAGATTCTAAGCAGCGCCAGCGGGAGCGATGGGAACTAGGCGAGCTAAAAAGAACTAAACAAGCAAAACAAAAAGTGGCGCGCTGGGGCAGCAGAAGGTGAGCTGGTCGCCCATTATAGAGTTGGTCGTGTCCAAACTATACGCGGCCTCCCTATTACGACGAGAGAAGAGAAATAAAAATGGAGAACGGAAACTTGTCTTTCTGGTTTTTTATATACATTCGCGTGGACGACTATTGCCGCCCTGAGGAGCTGGAGGAAACTAGACACGGGCAACAGGACTGCCACCCCAAGAGAGCGGAAAGAACTAGGCACGCAAGCGCTTGGAATGACGATAAAGAAAGGGCAGTGCGAGCTTTGGTTGATGTACACGAAAAATATGGCGTCAGATCGATTTCAGCATTGTTTTAGGAGCAATACCATATGGCGACTAACATCAAACGAAGTTTCTAGCGTGGATGTGTCTGGATTGAAACACTGTCCACTCACACTCACTCACGGGAAGCCCCCTCTGAGAAGTCTCCAACTGTAGCGCCTCTCTGCTCTCGTTAACACAAGCAGTGTTGGTTTCCGGCTTCGATTATCTGAAAAATCCACGGAACCCTAGCCATAGACCCAGAGCCATATATACAGAGAGTTTGGCCATTCATTGGGAAGTTTATGACGCAAATGAGGAAACGCCTTTGGCCGAAAGCAAGCTGGGCTTGTTCCAGTGCGTCTTCAGAAATTCGGATGTGACCAACCAGAAGCCGGAAATAATACCCTGGCAGTGGTTGCAAGAAACAGAATTAATAAGTGCGTCGGAGTAACTCTCAATGACTGAAAATATGGTGCACGTGATGTTTCACTCACAGTCTTCCTAAATCTTGGTAAAAGAGTGCGACTAGTAGAACGATCGACATTATCCATATGCCAGGTGCCAAGGGCCGGGAATCTGCTGTCCGAGCGGTCACACTCTGTCCGAACAAAAATGAGTTCGAGCAGCATCAAAATATAACGTGCACTCTATTTTCAACCATGAAGGGTTACTACATTTAACTCTTATGCGCTTAATAAAACCATGAACCTATGATTAAAACTGTTTCTCGTTACCACCGCTAGGGGATTCTTTTTGGCTTCTGGTTGGCCAAGAGAGCATTCCGAGCCCCCTTTCTGCATCTGGTGCACGCCCTGGCTCTGCCCGCGCCTCCCATTGACCAAACTCTCTGTATGCATAGCTCTGCATAGCGGAAGGAACTAGGCACGCAAGCGCTTGGGACGACGATAAAGGAGGACGCTGCGATTTCTGTCGACGTACTCGAGAAATCCATGGAACCCCAGCCATAAACTGCTTCGCTATAAAAGACAAGCGATTGCAGGGCCGCTGCCTTTGCGACAATTGCATTATTGGACTGTAGCTGTTATCACATTGGCACAGGGGGCCTTTCCACCTTTTCGCTTAGCGTCAGGCATCAAGGAAGCACGTCTAGATCACCGTTTATCCAATCCCAGTACTTAATGCCTAAACCCCTGGCACTTTTGTGAGAGGCTACGAAACTTAAATTGTCCAGCGTATTGCCACGCGCGTCGGCGAGCAAGCCCATGTGTGGCCGAGTGGTTATTGCGCTTGACTGTTGCGTGGAAGGTGTATGGGTTCGATTCCAGTCAGTGGACTGCCCTTTTATTTATTCTTTCAACTTGGCCTTCTCGTAAGGTCGAGAACATTCTCGTTTGATCAAGTACTGAACGTTCTACGCACCGAAAGTTCTGCACCAAATGATCCAGAAACCTACGAGGGTACATAAGGGACTCTGCAAGGCGAGCGGAGTCAGTTTTGCCCCAGCGTTCGACTCTGCTGTCTCGCCGACTTCGACGTTCACGACGCTTTGTCATTATCTTCTATTCCCTTTTGTTTTGAGCACAAGTTCGCCACATTAAACATTTATTTCTTCCTGTTTATTTATTGTTATTTTGGTCACCACCCGTGACAGCATTGAGTTTATGCGCTGCTGGACATTGTGAGTTACGTGCAGGCCGAGATGGAAATTCCCTTCCCACGGAAATGATGTGTGGTAACTAGGGAGGGGGGGATTAAAACTTTTAACCTGATTCATCACTACCCTTTAGTTGATTAATCGGCTGCATTGACCTTCAGGCACAATATCTAAGAAAGTGTCAAAACTGCACAGTTTCCTTTTTACTTTTTCTTGCTATGTCATTCATGGTGCAATGTCTAGACTCACTTGAAACATGATGTTGTACTGCTTAAACACACAAAACAAATATATAAATATACCATAAGTGAATGATGTAAAAAAATGAAATATTTTTACATTATTCACTCTGGATTACAATCAAATTGAATGCTAAAGCATTTTACCCTGGTGCACAACAGTGTTGCCTTACTAGAATACATGCGTGCCAGAAGTAATAAAAGCATTCATACTTTCTTCCCAATATTTCAAACTCAAAACTCGACCGATTAACCGTTTAAAAAAATTTATCGCAATTAAAGCATTAATTGATTAATCAATCAACCAATCTGTTGCTCAGCTCTGGCGATAACGTCTCTTCCCAGGGCGTGACGTACCCGTCCATGTACGCTCTGATTGCCCGCTGGTCGCCGGTTCGGGAACGGAGCTTCCTGGCGACTGTGTGCACCCTTGGCTCCCTGCTGGGCACCATCGTCACCTTACCCGTGGCCGCAGTGCTCTGTGAGCACGGTTTTGACGGAGGCTGGCCCTCCGTCTTCTACCTCTCTGGTACGTGCGTTCTCCAAGCCGCTGGACCTTCACGCTGAACCTCGCTTTCCCGGCTCTGTCCTCCACCGATTGGACATATTATCGTTGCAGTGTTTGTAACGGCTGGTTCACACATTTGCATTTGATCGTTACTGGCTACATTGCAATCGCTTCTAACCGCTTAGCAAGAGAGAGCACACCGATGCTGTCTATTCGGTAGTCCTGCAGCATTTTCGATCTGAGTATATATCACAAGAGTGGAAAGGCTGAACATTTTTTTCTCTGCAGTTACCCTTTAAAAAGTAGTCATAGCTTACCTTGAAAGTACATCATATTTATAGTACTTTACTTTAAGTACATTGTGCCTGGTGTACTTATTGCTTTACTTGAAATACACAACTTTTAATTTACTTTGTACTTTACTCCACATACCATATTTTCTGGGCCATAGCCCGCACCCGGTATATGGTTTGCATGGGCCAATTTAGGCGAAAAAAAAAAGAAAAGTTTCTGCTTAAATAGTTTGCACCCGGTTCCTAGTTTGCATGCACACTGTGCATATTCCGCATATGGTACTTAGTCGACACAAAAATTTTCTCATACACGGCACGCCTTGACAAATGTCTGCTTTCTTAGCTCACAAAGCAGCTTGTATTATACCTAAATCGTCATTAACATACTTTTTCATTCACACAATCTGTCACGTCTCGTCATAACGAAGAATCTTAAAGAGGCCCTCAGGAGGCTTTTTAGATCGCCTAACTATGGTGGTAACTCACTCTGCGGGCTTTAAGCATCCTAGAAATCTTTAAATCATGACGATTCGTAACCGATTTTCCCATTAAAAGAGCCTTGAAAGATTGAGTACACCGAGGTGATCGCAGAGAATGGGAGGAGCATGGTTCTGGCAGCATGTGACCAATGAAAATGCGACATTTCGTGGAGATTGCAAACGCTGTTCTTATAAAATGTGTATGCTTTTGTAGATGATAAAAGCAAACGAGAGTATGAGAAAAATGTTAATTTTTCGCAGAGGGAACGTAATACTGCAATAATTGTCTCCAAAACGGCGCACTATTTTTTTTTTCTTTTTTCGTCTTCTGCGGAAGTGATGTGTCCGGTCGTCTGCTCTGGAGCGCACGCTCGCTGGGCTGACTCATCGCATCGGTTTCCAAGCCGCTGGATTCTGTCGTCAAGTGTGCCTGTTGCCTTGGACGGACTGGCTCGTTCACGGCGCAGTTGGCACGGCCCTCCATTTGCTGCACTCTAATTTACGACGGCGTACAACGGTGTCGCATCATAAGAGATGTACCCCATGTCGGTTGTTCGCTGAAGCATCTCCTCCTCGAGAGGCTTCAAGTTAGCGAGAGCCATGGCGCGATGAAGCGATGGCTATAATGACAATCGACTTACCAGTGGCGTGGCATATGGTCTACGACTCTTAGTACTAACAAATGTAAGTCCATGAATGTATCTCGCGAGTCACATGAAACTCACAACTACATTCTTAATCAGGCTTAGCTGGACACGGTATCTTCTTACAAATATTTAGGTGTACATCAGGCACGTAGCCAGGAATTTGATTCGCGGGGGCCCACCCATGACAAAATGCTGTATGAGGGGGAGGGGAGAGAAGAGGCCCCAGCAAAATGGAAGATTTTGGAGTGTGGGGGGCTACGTGCCTGGTCTGCATATAACTTGTAACCTCTCATGGAAAACACATGTTCAGCATATCGCCTCTAATGCTAACCATATATTACGCTACCTCAGGCGTAACTTTTCATTAGCAGCTGTTTCTCTCAAGGTAATATTTTTATAAAGCTCTAGTTCGACCGAAGTTAGAATATGCAGCCTCTGTCTGGGATCTCGGATAAGCCGCTCTCATCACCGCATTGGAGGCCATTCAAGATAGATTGCCTCGTTTTATTCTTTCTAGTTTATCATTATACATTTAGTGTCACTTCTATGAAATCAACTTTGTCACTCCCGCTCCTCTTCCCGCGACTTAAGCTTTCACACCTCTCTGTATTTCACAAAATTTATTTTTATAACTGCGCTTCGCGACAAATTTATCACCTGTCTCTTTTATATTTCTGCTCGTCATGATCATTAGCACAAAGTTGAGGTACCTATCACTATCACATCTACGTTCCATTCTTTCCTTCCTCGCACATCCCTCGACTGGAACCACTTTTCCGGACGAATTGCATTCATCACTGATACTGTACTTTTTAATGCAAAAGCATTAACTGGGTCCTATGGAGCGAGCCGACGTCATCAGCTTTGAAGCTGCACGAAATGGCACCTTAAATCCTTTCTTCAAGTGAAGCCAGCTCCCAGCTATGAAACCATGCGAAAAGTCTAGCCAAACAGCACCTAGTTTACCCGATCCCAAAAAAGCAGAGTAAAGCTGATGGATTTCGGCTTCGGTCCCATTGGCTGGTGCGCGTCAACGAGGCTCCTTTTGGTTGCTGCGCATCAGTTTCAATGACTGCCAGTCATGGCGCTATGTCCGCGGGGCAGCGGCTCCACCACTCCACACCCAACTTCAGCGCGCCGAGGAGAGCTAGCGCGCGCGCTTGACTGTCGACGCAAGTATGCTGCAGACAAAATAAGGGAGCGGAAGAATGATGTGCATGCTTTCGCATTCACAACTCATAAGAAGTGCTTAGGTGTACCTCGAGTCTTTTTAGGTCTGCTCTAACCAATCATTTTTCTGTTGAGTGTGAATAACTGTTCATTGTTTTGATCCCAACTTTGTTCTCCCCCTCTGTAGTGGCTTCGGGCCCCGAGGGTAAAGCAAATAAATAAATAAATAACGGATTCGGGAATGTTGCACTGGTTGTCTCGGCAGGTCTGCTGGGCTTTGTCTGGGTTGTCGCCTGGTTCCTGCTCTCCTCTGCGACCCCTGAGCAGAACCGCCTGATCTCTGCGGAAGAGCGAAAGTACATCGTCGAAAGCCGAGACTGCAAGTTTGGAGTGTACAGGGTGAGGCCTTCTTTTGTTCGTTCCCGCTATCCATAGATAACCAAAACAAAGCAAACTCCCGTCCTCAGTTATCACCACCACCCCAGGGCAATTTGCTGATTGGTTCCGGTATCTCTCCCAGCGTGTAACATATCAGCCAGAGGGTTTCCTGGTCTCTTGACTGGCTCCGTGGGAAGAAAGCACCTTGCAGTTTAGCCGATTCTTTTCGGCAGGCATAAACCCTGCCTGTAGTTTTCTTTAATTTTTGATTAACATGACCTTCCCCAGAAGTAACTTTATATGCTGCTCCTAAAGTATGTAAATGCGGTTCATTCCATTTATAGTTCAAGCCCCTTCACCCTTTTGCTGCGTGCATATAATAGAACTTTAATAAAAGAAGTGAGGACAGACTTACCGTAGCCATTGACCTGTAAAAATAGGTGCCTTTCATTTTCTGTTCCCATGCAGCCGGTCATGTGAGCAGAAAATGCCTCTTGCGACTATTTTGCCTTGCGGGAGAAATACTGGCATTGATCACTAAACCGGCGCAGGGGGTCATATCTCTTAAAATTTCTCGTCAATGTTGTAGTCAGTTACAGGGTAAGAGAAGCATTTGAGGGGAAGGGGGGCTGGGGAAGAGGAAGCAAACGGAATGCTGGAGAGGAGAGAAGGAAACTTCCTCTTCCTATATTTACGCGTTCTGTCTGCTTCCTCCTCCTCAGCCTTCCTTTCCTTGAAAACTTATCTTAGCCTGTAACTGACTATACCATTTTTATACTGTGCATGCATGCCATCTACCCTTCAATCTGACTGAGCTGCAGAAATATCTTACAATATTAACATTCTCGTACAGCTTCCAAAACGCTGATAATAACTATAAAAAACAATAAAAAAGCTATAAAGAGCCCCGCTGACTTTGAGCTAAATCCTGGTTTTGGTTGTTGTGAATTCTCAGCTTTTTAGGAAATTCCTGCTTAAACAACAAGCATGAGAATGATAATATTGTAAAAGATTTCTGCAGCTCGGCCAGGTTGAAAGGTGGATTGCATGCACAGTATCAAAAATGTTGCCATTGACGAAATCAAAGTCAAAAGTCAAATTGGACGTTTAGTGTTTATACAGTGTAAGGTTGGTCTGCCAGTAGGGGCGACACTGGTTTACACTGTAGATGAGCAATTTTGCCAGTGCAGTACAACTGCTAACCTGGGGTCTTTAACGTGCTCACGCAGTAGTGAAACACGACCGCACGCCGGTACGATGCTCATCCAGATCGAAACGGGCAGGGGTGGGGCTCGAACCCAGGATCCCTGGGTTCTGCAGCGCGAGCTTTCGCTCCACGCGCGTCGAGCTGGGTGCGCGCTTCAGCCCACTCGGCCACCGATCCCCCTTGCCATTGACGAGAAATTTTAAAAGTGATATGGCTTGGTTTTTGAATATATGTTGACGCTTATTCAGGATGACTTTGAATTACACTCAAAAGTGTGTAAGCATTGAATTGGTTAAAATTGTTGATCACTATAGGGACCTAAATGAACACCATTCCTATGATTCCTCTCGAGTGCGGGCCAGCACGCTCAACGATTTAGCAAGTGGTCTATTGTCCGCTAAAGCACTGGTGCTTTCGAGAGACGTGTGCCTTAAAGGGATGCTGAACCGAAATTTGGAGCTCACAAAAGAAGGCTGGAGCGATAGGCGGGACACTGCAAAACCCAAAAACATCACTCGTACAGCAATATCTCCGACGGTTGGTCGTATTTTTGGAAATTAAATGCGCGATTGAACTTGGCTGATGAGGATAAGACATGTGACGTCACGAGTCTCATTCCCTCTCCTCTCCGCCTTGTCCCCTTGAGCAGGTGAACCGAAGTGAGGAAAAGAGAAGCAAGGCCGCTTCTCCTCATTCTAAACTGTTCCAGGAGAATCGTGATGTCCTATTCCTTGCTCGATTGGGCCCTTCTTTCTTAAAAATACGGTCATCCGTGATATCCACGTATGACTGATGTTTTAGAGTTCATAGTATCCCGTTCAACGCTTCTGCGGCCTTATTTTGCAAAATCCAAATTTCGGTTTGGCATAGCCCTTTGAGGCTGGTGAGACCATCTGCATTACGACGTCAAGTAACTGGTCACGACGAGAGCGCACATTGGCACAATTTATCCAGTGACCCTCGAACACCTCCAGTCTGAGTGTAACTGGATCGTAGGATTTTGCAGCAATCAAAAGAGGAGATCCGCACAATGTTCACGAGAAACGGTGGCTTATAACGTTGTCTGATTTATTTTAAGCATGCGGTGAAAGAGTGATGTGTAAAAATTAGGAAATCAATGCGGACCAGGAGTGTTCCGGGGCCACAGTCCCAATGCAGTCAGTAACAGCCAAACGCAAATGTGTGAACCGGTCTTTACGACTATAGTTAGCTAATCCTCCATTGTCGTCTGCAGTCTAACCATAGCAATGGTATGGTGCTTTCTCTGTTGTGCCGCAGAGTGTTCCCTGGATCGAGATTTTGCTGTCGCAGCCTGTGTGGATGTGTGCCTTAATCAAGTTCTGTAGCGCCTGGAGCTTTTACACATTGCTCACGGAACTGCCGAGCTACCTGGAGAATGTGCTTCACTTCGAGATTCAGAAGGTGAGGCTTTTAGAGTTCTCTGTAAATTATGTGTTTTTTTTCGAGTCCAGAGCGCTACACCACTCTTTGATTTAAAATTGAAATCAATTTAACAAAAGCTTTATGTATTTATTTTTCGCTGAGTGTTGCCACTTGAAATTGCTGTAAATGGGTTAAAATAAAAGCAATGCTTGTGAAGATTCTTTTTTTCTTTTTTAGCTCTGTTAGATGAATATGTCTAATTGTTGTGTCGACCATACCCGGGCTAGCTCCCAGGCAAAGCGCCGGCCTACGGATCCCCAGTTGGCGGGTTCGAATCCCGGCCGAGTGTCTGCAAACTGACGGAGGCTTATTGCAGAAAAGGCGCTGTGGTATTACCGAGCTTTCAGTGCATGTCAAAGGATCCCTAAATGGTCTAAATTAATCCTCAGTCCTCTGCTGGGACGTGTCAGATGCCCTTTGTTGGTTTGGCACGTAAACCCCTAAATTTATATTTGACCATACACGACAACAGGTCTGGACTTTTGATGACAAGGTTTTTGAGAATACTCTACCTCCATTAAATAGCAAATCTCTGAAAAAATTTCCGCTAACGGAAGAGGTACCAACACCCAAACCTTCATGATAGCTGCACTTTGTGCTCCTGTTGTACTGATCATTGTCAGTTTCACTGGCAATTCACAACGAGAAGAAGCTTACCTAGTTACTTTACGTGGTCCGTGCATTTGCCTGCTTTGCCAATAGGTTTTATGTCCGATTCCTTTTCAAAACTCCTTTAGATTTTCTTAAAATCACTTCCTAAGCTGTTATATACTGTTATTCCCCGTACTCTCAAAACTCTGGCCATACCGCTCCTGCGAAAAGTATGCATTGAACAGAAAAAATGTGCCCTATATTTTTTGTAAATTGTGCCGATTAAATGTATTTCGATGATGCCCAAAACAGTTTTTATATAAACCATACCTTTAAATTTACTTCTTAAACTTTAATTGCTCAGAAGGAATTAGGAACCCTGCTATACCAAACTTTATTAACATTCCTAAATAGTCCCTTGTGGCCTATTCAGGAAAGTTTGATGCCAATATGACATCAAGCTTTTTGCTGTTAAATGCCTACTTTTCGCAGGAGTGATTTGGCCAGTGTTCCGAAAACACCCTGTATAATAGGAACCTCTAAACTGGCAGTGTCTACTTTCCTGTGGGGTATGGGTGCAAATGTGACCTGTTTCATTGGATGCAGTGGCAGTCAAGTTAGTACATGAAAGGGCCTTCAAAGAAGGCTATGCCACTTCTTAGAGGCAGGATCAGTAATGAATGGTATTGGACGTTGGATTGGATTGTAATGTTTGGACGTTGGCAGGGTTTTCAGGCCAGATGTAGAAAAGGGTGAAGTGTGTGGAGCTGTGTCGAGCTTTTTCCTCGTTTTTTCTCCCGACTTCCGTGCTTGCCTGTGCAGAACGGGCTCCTCAACGCTGGCCTCTACTTGAGCCAGGGAGTGGTGGGACTCGTGAGTTCCTACATTGCGGACAGGGTCATCGAAAGGCGTCTCCTCGGCGTCACTTCAACAAGGAAGGTGCTCGAGAGCATTGGTGAGGGCTGGCAGCTTTCTCAATCCCACCAGAGGAGCACTCACTAAAGTGGGCTGCCTTACCACCAAGCACATCTCTGAAGAGTCACCTGTGAGCTCACCATATGGAGTTTGCTTGAATTTCCATGGGCTAAATCACTGAAAAACTTTACAAAGTGTAGGACAGAAGCTTACATGCCAACATGTTGCAACAAGCACACTTTGCTCTCCACCAGGTGTGGGCACTTCATTGTGCAGAAACTAGGTTTGTGGGATATGAAGTTTATTCTCCACCGTGCATAAGCAGCGTCACCGCTATGGCTTGACATCGGCAGAGCGCGTTGGTCTATATACCAACATGCAGCTCTGACGATCACACAGCTGCAGTGGCACTGCCGTTGAAGCGAATCTGGTTTCTGCGCACGTGCAATGCCCACACCTGGTGTGAGTAAAGTCCGCTTGTCCTGTAAACGGCTTGTTGGTGTTATACCAGGGGTGGCCAGACAGATGCAAAGAGCCCTGAAAAATAACTATTTTAAGTATGGCATGGCAGTTTTTGTATACGCGCTTTCATCTCACTTTGTGGTCACAGCAAAGTTTGCTTGTCAAGTGATTGCTCATTATGTTTCTTTATCGTACGTCCCCATTCACAATATAGGCACCTTGTCCAATCTTGGTTGAACAAGGGAGCCAAAATGAGAGCGGCTTTTTATTCTATTTTTCCTTCCTTCTGTTCTTGGGGAGGGGGCTGGGGATATAAGTGTTTTACCCAAAAATGTAAGAAAAAATTAAATTTTTTTGACCCTCTGATGGTGAGCATTGCCCAGGAGCAACAACTCATGGATGATATATTAGAGGGCAGCTCTTAGGCGCCCGTTTCGGAGTTGAGCGGCATCGCCGTGGCTGTCGGCGTAACTGCGCGTTGCATTATAGGACACTTCGCATAATGACGTCACACGTGACGTCACGTGTGAAGTCAAGAAGGCTAAAATCTTTCCGCTAAATTTAGAGGAAAAATTTCTCCGCTAAATTTAGCGGAAAAATTTCCCCGCTAAATTTAGCGGGAAAATTTCCCCGCTAAATTTAGCAGAAAAATTTCCCACTAAATTTAGTGGGGGAATTTTTTATCGTAAATTTAGCGGGGCAATATTTCCGCTAAATGGGAGGGGAGCAGGAAAGGAGGAGGGGAGGGTATGGAGTGGGAGGAGGAGCATACCCTCCCCTTCTCAGAATTCACCGTAGACTGTGAGGTATTGCAAAGTGATTTACATATTGTAGCTAACTAGTACAATCAGTAGAATATGAGTTTAAATGTTGGGAAATGTAACCACTTTGCTTTCTCAAAGAGTTTTTCCAAATTTGCAACAAGGTATACTATTAAAAACATCACCCTTTGCAGTATCTCTGAGTTTAAATATCTGGGGCTCTTCTTTAACACTTAAATGGAATAAACATATAGAATATATAATAAATGAGACTGGTAGGATGTTATACTTTATTCGAAGAAATTTTGAACATGTTTCACAAAACGTTCAACAAAAACTTTACGTTTTGCATGTTAGATCAATACTGGAGTATGCGTGCATCATAGGGGATCCTTGCCAAGCTTACTTTGTTGAAAAATTGGAAAAGCTTCAAAATCAAGCGGCATGGTTTGTTTGTAATAATTATGATCCATACGCTAGCATTTCTGGGATGAAAGCCATGCTGGGTTGGGAATCATTAAAAAATGAGAGGCAAATATTACGGTTGAAATTTTTTCATCAGATTTATTATGATAACATTGGCATTGACAAATGCGGGTCCCTTTTGGAGCCCCCCTATGTTTCAGCACGATGTGATCATCGAAATAAGTTTTAGAGCGCAGCTCTTAGGCGCCCGTTTCCAGCTTGAACGGCGTCGCTGTTGGCGTAACCGCACGGTGCATTATGGATAAATTTCTCCGCTAAATTTTGTGAAATATTTTCCCAGCTAAATTTTCCCACTAAATTTAGCGCAAAAGTTTCCCCGCTAAACTTAGTGGAAACAATTCCTTTCCAAATTTAGCTGTAAAGTTCCCGCTAAATTTAGCGGAAAAAAGTCCCCACTAAATTTAGTGGAAAAATTCCCCGCTAAATTTAGCGGAAAAAAATTCCCCGCTAAATTTAGCGGAAAAATTTCCCCGCTAAATTTAGCAGAAAAATTTCCCCGCTAAATTTAGCGGGAAATTTTCCCCTAAATGGGAGGCGAGCTGGAGAGGAGGGGCATAGCCTTCTCTCCGTACCTTCCCCTCCTCCTCAAGAGCTGCGCTCTAATTCGTCTTTCACTTTTTTTTGTGTTTTTTTTATTACAAACCATTTTGGTCATTCTTTTTTTTTTTGTAAAAACCATACCTGCCAACTCTCCAGCTTTCAGAATTTGTATCACATCTCCCGATTGTACGGATGCAACCTCAAATTTCCCAAAAGTGGCCGCCATACTTTTTTTCTTCTTTTTTTAGTAGCTTTATTGCTATAACCATTACGCGCATGTCAGTGCGAGTTACTCGAGAGTGGGTTTACCCCGGCAGGTTCATACCTCGGCAAACCTCACTCATGAGGGCCCTCACTCACCCTCATCTTCACAGGTGAGGTGAGGGTGAGTGAGGGCCGTGAGGGCGGTGAAGGCTGTGAGGGCCGTGAGGGCTGTGAAGGCTGTGAGGGGGGTGAAGGCCGTGAGGGGGGTGAAGGCTGTGAGGGCGGTGAAGGCTGTGAGGGCCGTGATGGCCGTGAGGGCTGTGAGGGCGGTGAAGGCCGTGAGGGCTGTGAAGGCCGTGAGGGCCGTGAGGGCGGTGATGGCCGTGAGGGCGGTGAAGGCCGTGATGAGGGCTGTGAGGCTGTGAGGGCGGTGAAGGCCGTGAGGGCTGTGAGGGTGGTGAAGGCCGTGAGGGCTGTGAGGGGGGTGAAGGCCGTGAGGGCGGTGAAGGCCGTGAGGGCGGTGATGGCCGCGAGGGCGGTGAGGGCGGTGAAGGCCGTGAGGGCTGTGAAGGCCGTGAGGGCGGTGAGGCTGTGAGGGCGGTGAAGGCCGTGAGGGCTGTGAGGGTGGTGAAGGCCGTGAGGGCTGTGAGGGGGGTGAAGGCCGTGAGGGCGGTGAGGGCCGTGAGGGCGGTGAAGGCCGTGAGGGCTGTGAAGGCCGTGAGGGCGGTGAGGCTGTAAGGGCGGTGAAGGCTGTGAGGGTGGTGAAGGCCGTGAGGGCTGTGAGGGGGGTGAAGGCCGTGAGGGCGGTGAAGGCTGTGAGGGCGGTGATGGCCGTGAGGGCTGTGAAGGCCGTGAGGGCTGTGAAGGCCGTGAGGGCTGTGAAGGCCGTGAGGGCTGTGAAGGCCGTGAGGGCGGTGAGGGCTGTGAGGGTGGTGAAGGCCGTGAGGGCTGTGAGGGGGGTGAAGGCCGTGAGGGCGGTGAAGGCCGTGAGGGCGGTGATGGCCGTGAGGGCGGTGAGGCTGTGAGGGCGGTGAAGACCGTGAGGGTTGTGAGGGTGGTGAAGGCCGTGAGGGCTGTGAAGGCCGTGAGGGCGGTGAAGGCCGTGAAGGCGGTGAAGGTCGTGAGGGCGGTGAAGGTCGTGAGGGCGGTGAAGGTCGTGAGGGCGGTGAAGGCCGTGAGGGCGGTGAAGGCCGTGAGGGCCATGAGGGCAGTAAGGGGTATGAGGGCCATGAGTGCGTGAGGGCGGTGAGTGGCGTGAGGGCCATGAGTGCGTGAATGGTGTGAGTGCGTGAGGGGTGCGAGGGCCATGAGTGCGTGAGGGCAGTGAGTGGCGTGAGGGCGGTGAATGCATGAGGTGTGTGAGGGCCATGAGTGCGTGAGGGCGATGAGTGCGTGAGGCCCCCTTCAGATCGAGCATCTTTCTCAGCAATTTTGGTGGTAATGGCGGGTTGTTCTCTAGCTTTCCCTAGATCGACACGAATTGCTGAGATCGGGTCCGGCTCGAAATAAGCAAGCAACTCGGAGCAATTCGAATGCGTTTGAAGCGGCTGCATCCAATCAGGGACGCAAAATTTTCACGCGATACCTCGTGCCGGTGATGATGACACCGAAAGACTTGGTTCTGGTTTGAAATCGATCGTTTTTTTTGGAAATAAACTGTTTCAGAAAGGTGCATTGGTATTCTTAACGAGATTTAAATGCATAAAAGCACGTTTATGACGCGTAATTGTGTCTAAATAGTGCAAGAAAAAGAAAATTTAATGATGACGATGGCAAATTGCAGCAATTGGTTGGTGCGTGTGATCGCGGGCGGCCCGTGTTGCTGGTGTTGCGACGTAAAGTTTCTGGGCGAAATTGCCCCATCTGAAACTGGCCTGAGTGGCGTGAAGGCGGTGAGTGGCGTGAGGGCCGTGAGGGCGGTGAGTGGCGTGAGGGCTATGAGGGCCGTGAGGGCCGTGAGTGGCGTGAGGGTGGTGAGTGGCGTGAGGGTCATGAGTGAGTGAGGGGCGTGAGGGCGGTGAGTGCGTGAGGTTCAGTGAGGGTGAGTGAAGGGCTGAAGGTGAGTGTGACTGTGAGGGTGAGTGAGGGGCTGAAGGTGAGTGTAGCTGTGAGGGTGAGTGAGTGGCTTAGGTGAGTGTGGCTGTGAGGGTGAGGGTGAGTGAGGGCGACCTAAAATGCCGACCTCTGGGCGGGTTACCATGTGACAATTCGGTTAGAGCAGCAGCGTAAAACGAGGGTAGATTTTCAGAAGCCAAGGTACGAAACCTCTACTCTGGAGTACAGTTCGAGCGCATTTTGGAACACGGTTTTTATGATCGTAGAGTCGTGGGTGCGCAGCCTGGCGCAGCTCTAGGCGCTAGGCCAAGCTAAGCTTCAGTTGACTTTGTCAGGTTGTTGAGTGAAGTGCGGAACGCCAAACTACTCTTTGTGTTTCCCCAAGTTTTGTTGGAACGATCGATGGCACTTTCAATAGCCAGGAGGAAGTACTTGCAAGTATTTTTGAGATCATACATGACTGAGGTTCCGTGCTTTGTCCGTTTGCGGAAGGGTGACAAGCGTGGATTCTGTACCATGTGCACCTGTGATGTGAGCGTTTCGCACAGCGACAAAGCCGACATCAAGATACACATCGCTTCACAAAAGCATCAGAACTACGTTCATGCCGCAAAAGGGCATGGCACCATCGGCGATTTCCTCCAAAACAACTGCGAAGACAGTGTCATCCTCGCAGATGCCTCTTCACAAAAATTCTTGTCGAACATAAAAAAAAAAAAAACATTTTCTGACTTTCCTCTCTTCTGCGCGGCGGTCTTATGAATTTTCATGTTGCTAGGTTGGCAGGTATGAAAAACAATCAGAGTTTGGAACATGCTGCCACCTAAACTATTCAGGATTTTAGACAATATTTTTTTTTTCTCGCCTGTGAAACTAAGAGTGTGAATGTTAACCTTCTGTATTTTTCTCTGTCCCCCTACAATAATGCCCTCAAAAGAAAATAAAAACACTCTAAATAAAAAAGGAAGCCAAATACGTTTCTATAAATTTGGCACCCTCTGTCGCAAGGGCTAGGATACCTGCACTTAGCAGTGGAGGATCAAATAGCATCTTTGAAACAGATCACTCATCCTTTAAAACCAAAGCCAACAGTGGATGCAAGGTACGATGGTGTGCACTGCTGACCTCGAAACTGAGGAGAAAAACGGGTGCAAGTATTTCAACTCCGGTCACACCTTTCTCTACTGAGCGAAATTCAAAATGCACTTATGCCTTCTCCCAGGTCGTAACCGCTTTCACACGTTTGACATCAACTAGTGCTGCAAATGCCCAAAATTGCTCACGAGCAACATTTAAAAAACACAATTACGAAAAAAAAAAAATTTTTTCGAGATTATTGTAAAATCTTGAGAGGTGCCCCACCTCAGAAAGATAGCCGACCCCTATTTTTGGCTTGATTTGCTTATTTTTTTAAACACCAAAAGATGGCCCCCTCTTAGTAATAGTAGTGTTGGCATCAATGATGGCCTTGGCATAAATGCGGCTATAGTTGGCTATGGTGGGATATAAGCTAACGTTGCTGACTGAAAAGTACAGTCATCTTTGCTTCGTTGCCCCTCGCCAGCATAACAAGCTTGGAAGGGACACAACTTAAAAATAGCAAGTTTTAAACTTTTCTTGATTGTACACCGAAAGTTAACCCACTCCATATCTTCACCCGATTTGCAATTGGTGTTAGGTGGGCCATCTCTCGGGATTTTGCGGTAGATATATATATATATATATTTTTTTTGTGTTCTAAAACCACGACACGAGTTTGTAGACGTCCAATATTTCAAGTAGTTTCATGCAACACAAAGGGTGCTGTCCGCAAAGTGTCAGGTTCAACTTGTGGCCGTCTCTTTCTGCAGGCCTTCTGGGAGGGGCGGTCATCTTCGTCTGCCTGGCCTCTGCAGGCTGCAACACCGTTCTCGCGTGCGTACTCCTATTGGTCGCATCCTCCCTGGCCGGCGCCCAGTACGGCTGCGACGGCGTTCTGCCCATCGACTTGGCTCCGGAGTTTGCAGGCAAGTTGTTTGTTTGCCAGAGGGCAAGGATTGTGCCTCCGAGCATTGAAGCGTCTTAGTTTCTGTTCGGTACCGCGGAGTCGGCATCAAAATGGAATCGCTAAAGACCCTTTCCATGTTTACAGTTTTCATTCCATCTCAAATGTCCCATATGGTGCCCTTGGCCATTTCCGATTTTTTTATTTTACCCCAGTGTCCTAAAACGTTCCCTAAAATATTTTGGAGGAAATATTTTTTTTTATGGCGTGAGCGTGGTTTGAACTTTTAAAGTGCGCATAAAACTAGGCATCAATCAATGATTTAGTCAAAATCATATTTTCTTCGAAACGATTGGCAATTTGTTTTATGAAATGAAAACGGCTTTTAGCTTGCTATGTTGTGATGACAATGCTATTTTTATTGTTAAAATTATTTTTTTTTAAATTTGACAAAATGCACAAACATTATAACTTCTCTCAATTTTTTATTTTATTATCTCTTTGCACCTGGTAATTCAAACTTTTTTGTTGGAAGCCTTGTAGGTATATTACAAATAAAAAATGTTTGAAGCTGTACAACAAAATATTTTACAGACCAAAAAAATTCTAAAGTTGTAAAAAAGTCAGTTTTGCTGCCTAAACAGCCGTCTATTCTACCTTGAGGTGGCCCGAGTAATAATATGAAACATAATGACTTTATAAGAAGAGTTTATTGTCTTTCAGTTCTCAAAGTTTGATCAAAATGATTTTGGTCTAAATCGACAAAAAAAAAATTGAAATTGAGCTCCCGCGTCGTAATCCTCTTAGCTCCTCTTCATTGCACAGCATGCCACTGTTGACGTTGTATCCAGACGAAATGCACGATTGTCTACCGCAAGTAGATGCAGAAAAGTTGTGTTGTCATATAGATATTCATGGGAAATGGCTTGCTTCTGATTCCGTGGCTTTCCAATCTCTACAATTGCAACCGCCGTCTGTAGTGGAGTCCTCTTGTGATCTAGCACAGCTTGTCATATCTGCTGTTTTTTTTAGCGCTGCCGGGGCAGCATATCCACCAGCAGGTCAGTTGTTTCACACTGCAATTTGTCCCTCTTGTCAGAGTCAGGACAGTAAGCAGCAGCATAAAAGCCTGTGAGTAGATAATATGAAAACGACTTATTTCAAATAAGTCATTCTGCTCATGGGATTTTCCTTGGTGAAATTTCTGAATTAAGACCACAAGCTTAAAACCGATTTTAAAACTGTGAATTCTTATGTCTCTGATTAGGACGTAAATCCAGCACATAGCAATGAAGGTGAGGACGGCTTGAAGTGATGAAAACTCAGTGTCTTTTTTTTTTTGGGGGGGGGGGGGGGGGGCCGTTTAGCTGAATAATGTAGTCAGGTTCGTTTTTTTTTAACAATTTCTTTTGGAACCCAGAGAATTGTAATACTTCCAATGTTATGTTCATCCCAGGTGAATAGCTGATAGGGCTTCATTATTTGATTCTGAAAGGGACTTTGAAGACTGGCCCTTGCTGCCTAACGCTTCACTGTTTCCCTACTCCATCACAAGTACTCCCATGGGATGTAGCAAAAACTTCCACTCAGCGGAAATGCCGTAATCGTTGCAAATGAACAGAAACGTTATCACGAGTAAACACGGGACAACTATCATTATAGTTTGGAAAACTAAATGATAAAAATTCCCTACTTACTCATCGGCACCTGTACGAACTGCAGAATGACTTGCCTGGGCCGATTGACCTACTTTATCATCGTTATAGCACCATACTCTGACGAAAAATAAACTTCTTTCTTGGGCAGATTCTCGATTGCACTAGTCAGTGGTAAGATAATTTGAAACAATACTCCTAGTTTTTCTGCCAGTCTTGGATGCTCTACTATCAAATAAAGCATCCAAGAGCCGTTAGATACAGTAGAGCATAGCTCACGGAGTCTACAAAAACCGCCGCGCTTACACGCGCACCTGGATGGGACCTCCACACACCATAAGCAGCAAAACACGAAAATAAGAAAAAATAAAAAGTAAAGAAAAACGGAAAAGCGAGGTGCATAAAGAAAACTCTTGATCCATGGAAAAAGCAAGCAACAAGAAAGAAAGTTCACTAAATTCAGGCAGCAAAAAAAGAAAGGCAAAGGAAAAAGAAAAACTGGGCAAAGCAATAATGGCAAAAGAAAGAGGTAAACAAAGAAAATTTGTAGAGCCCTTCCACTTCACGTGAAAGTGGAGGATCAGCGAAGCTGTTATTTTTATGACCTCTCGGACGACTTCTTGAATGACCTCAAGGACATCTAGGATTACGAAAAATTCTGAAACGTCGCCCACCCCCAACTTTTTATGGATATCGAGCGATGTCCCACGTGAATCACATTAATTGCACGGTCTGCGGTGTTGGTGCATTTGACAAGCAAGCTCGTAGCAGGTTCTCGCGAGTTCATCGCACCGTGAGATCAGAGTTTGCCGTGTCCGCGATTCTTCCCCGTGACGTGCGGGTTTGAAGCAGGTTCCCGCGTGCTCGGCGCACCGTGAAACACGAATCTACTGCGTCGGGGATTGCAGCGTCGGTTCCTGTGACACGGGAATTTGTATAGAGTTCCGGCGTCTTAATCACACCCCGAAACGCGATTCTGCCCTGACCATGATCTGCGTTACCAATTCTCGTGTCATGCGGCTGGTAGGGGGCGCCAATAGTGTTTAGCAGTCATTTTTTTATAAACTTTTGCTGTCTCCTAGAGATCGCCCACCTGATATATTTTACCATTTATCTTTTCAATACGGGTGAGCGTTCCTACGGGGTTTTACGGTAAGCAAAGTTTTTCTTCTAAAGCCACACAAAAGTTACCCATAGACGGTAACACTTTTGGAATTGGAAAATAACTCTTCTAGAAGGCAATAGAGACAATAGGAAATATGCTGCAAATAATTATTTTCTGTCATTCCGTAGACCCAACAGGGAGCTATTTATAGCAGCCTTCTCTAGGCATTATGGCGGTGTTAGAGGATTTCTAACCGTTTATCCTAGTGACTCTCTCCTACTTGCGGTACATCCTGCAGGTTCTGTGATGGGACTCGTGAACACCGTTTCTAACACGGCCGGGATATTTGCCCCAATGCTTGTGGGCTACCTGACAGAAAACAATGTGAGTCTTTTATTATTTTTCACTCCTATCTCGCACAAAGTTATGCTGGAGTACAAAATTTGTACGTTCACCTGGGAGGGAGGGAGGGAGAGACAAATGCGAACAAAAAACCTTTTACTTTGTTGCAGGCATATTGGCAGATATCATATCTTCCAGGCCACAGTCTGCATTAAAAAATTTCAGCAAAGAAAAAATAAAAAAGTTTTAGTCCATTTATGGTACTTAATTCGCATCCGGGGCTTACATGGGCATGCACAACGGGGGTGGCGGTAACGGGGGGAGGGGGGCAAGCACGCTTACTCTTCCAATGGTTCGAGAAGGGTGGAAATTCGGGGGGGCTAAGCATGTTATGACCCCTCCAAATGGCTCGAAAGGAGTGCAAATTCAGTAAGGTTCTATTTTTGTTGCATTACACAACAAAAATAGAACCTTACTGAATTTGCACCCCTTTCAAGCCATTTGGAAGGGTCATAACATGCTTGCCCCCCCCCCCCCCCCCCACCGCTATGCAAGCCTATGAGTGCTTAGTCCATATCTCAGAAAGCTTCTCATACAAATTGCACCTTGAAAAATGCCCGCTCTATTAGGACATAATGAGAAACAGCGCAAAATGGACAGGACACAAAGGATAAGAAGGATGCAAGGTGTCCTGTCGCTTTTGCGCTGTTTCTCATTATGTCGTTCAACCAACCAGCCCAGCAAGGTATCCTGTTACAGTCTATTAGGACATACAGAAGCTTGTAGTATGCAGAAATCATCATTAATGTAACTTGTCATTCACAAAAATCCGTTGCATCTCATTGCACTGAGCTATCTTGGAAAAAGAAATCCTCGTACAGTCTGCGCCCGCCGTACAGGGTACTCGGGAGTAAAAAAAATTGCACGAGTAAACGACCAAATGGAGTGCATCGAAACTCTTCACAGAGGTATCTTTAGGTTGTGAGTTTATCATACTCAAATTTCACAAGTGTGAGTTTCAAGCAACAAACCTTAAGCCGAAAAAATTATGTTTTTGTTTCTTCCTATGCATAAGGAACAAAATGGTAAAAACCGTCCGGTCGACGCCGCTGCTCACAGATGGTATTGCAAACGGTCAGATCTCTGCTTTAGGCTGTTCAGCTTAAAGTGCATTTTTGCTTCATGTGGTGCAGTCTGTGAGTAGGAGCGTAGGCTGGATGGTTTTTACCAAGTTGCTCCCTGTGCATAGGAAACAAAAAATATGGAATTTCTAGGTTAAAGTTTTTTTTCTCAAAACTCACACTCGTACAATTTGAGTATGATAAATTCGCACAGAGGGGAAGACTGAATGGTCTTCTTCTCTGTGCATAAAAAAAAACAAGATTTCTTATGCTTCAATTTTATTCTTTGAAGCCCACACCAAGTCTGCCGAGTATGTGGAGGGTAAGCTCTCTGGTTCTTGCGCAGGGGTTGCGGTGACATACTCAGAACGCTGAGCTCTTATTGGCTGATTGAAAAAAGGAATAGTGGGGAGACCTTAACGCTAGATGCCTCGAGGTCTACCCACTATTCCTTTTTTCAATCAGCCAATAAGAGCTTGGAGTTCAGACATCACCGCAATCCATGTAAAAAGCAGACAAACTTTCGTTCCACATAGTCTGGAACATATGGTAGTTCCTTGGGCCTCTGAAACCAACGTAAGCCTGAAACGTTCCGTATACCATACTTGAAACCAAGACAGGAGTTTCTCTTGGGTGCCGATCCGGGGTCCCACCACGCAGGAAAGCCTGGAGCAGTGGAACACCATCTTCTATGTGTCAGCCGGCATCAACCTGTTTGGAGGCGTGGTCTTCCTGATCTTCGGCACGGCCAAGGTGCAACCATGGGCCCACCCGCAAACCGAAGGGGTTCCGGACACAGATCCGCTGATTCCTTCGATCAATGACGATCCGGTGCACGGCGCTGCTTCCCCGAACGACGGCGCCTCCTCATCGGACAAACGTGCCTGAAAGCGCGCTCTGGGTTTCGCCCGAAATCGACGCCGTGTGCAGTGCACACACTGCCGTTTCATGCAGTGCACGTGCCATGATGTGCCGGCAAGCAGTACGCGATTCCCTAAAGGCTGCTTCACTTGTTGGCATATGTGCGCAATTCAGCCTGTCGCATTCTTTTGTGGCCGCTTAAAGGGCAACTCCGGTCCATACTTTCGATTTTGGGATTATGACTGCTTTTAGTGCAGTCAGCGTCCCTGAATTGCGAGGTGTAATTTTTTTCTCGTTATTGTGCGTAGTTTTAAAGATATAGACGCCTCAAAATTTTGTTTGGGGCGCGGCCAACAAAACCGAAACTAGCCGCTCGAGGTCCCGGCAACACTGGAAATCAGCCGCTATGTGAACGTGACGTCAGGATCGTTCTCGTTCAACGAGTATGCAGGCCGAGCGGCACCTACCTCTGTTGCGCTAGCCGCCTAAAGATAGGAGGAAAGCTGATTTTGTTTTAATTCTGCATACGTGGTAGTTATCGAGCATATGTAGCATAAGTTAGTGCGTATACCCAAAAGCTAGCGACTGGAAAACCCGTGAACTCGCACGGGTCCGTACTCGGCGGCCGCCGCGGTGCGTGCGCTATGCCTACTCGTCGGTTGCATACCCAAAAGCGTAGAGCAACACCAAGAGCGGTGTTGCTCTACGCTGCACTGCTAGTGACGTATACAGCGCTGCGGGTCAGTCCCAGACACAAAACTTTGAGGCTCTCCGGCGCGGGCCGCGGCGCCCGAACACACGTGTGCTGGGCTGTACATGTCTGTTTTTTCGTTCCTTTTTCCTCAGGCGCGTAAAAGCCGAAGTCCAAAGTCCACTCGTCAAACAGCGTTCACCCACACCTTCTCCAATTTCCGGTCCGTTGGAAACTTGTGAAAAAGCACCTCCGTTTCGCGCAGCGGGTTGTTTGAGCAGCCCACAGCGCTACAAGTTGCTCTCGGCACAGGCATGTAGCCAGGGTGGTGGCCCAATGGGGCTCGGCCCCCCCCCCCCCCCCCCCCCGAAAACTTTCATTTTGCTGGGACCTCCTCTCCCCCCCCTCCCCCTCATACAGTATTTTGTCACGGGCGGCCGGCCCCCCCCCCCCCCCCCCCCGAAACGAAATCCTGGCTACGTGCCTGACTCGGCATCTTTCCAGGAACAGCTGGGCAGTCTGGGGCGCGTCGAGTTGCTCGCTAAAACGAGTCTTGGAATCCTCACAAGCAAATAAACAAAAGGCTATACAGAAGCTACACGGGCTACAGATAAAAGCAACGGCTAAACACGCCTATCACAAGCCAAAGTAGCGGTGGTAGCGGCTCAAAGAAGCGCGCTCCACGCAACGCCCGGACCAGAGGAAAAAAAGAGAACGATAAGGACGTCACGTCCCAATGTTGCTTTAGCGATCGGCAACCCGCTGGCCGCCCGCTAAGGAGCAGCGGCTCGCGGCGGGTCGCATTTTGATTATCGGAATTAGTTGAGAATGCGGCGTCCCACGGACGTAATATTTTCGCTGGGGTCGTATTTTGTGTCACTACAGCGATACCAGTAATTTATTTCATTTTGAGTTTTGGCCGGAGTTGCCCTTTCCGCTTAATGCACTGAAGCCAAATACTTTACTAGGGGGAATACGGGCCACTCTGCTCGCTTGCATTAGATGGAGCAACGGCGGCATTGAAGCCTTCATCGTGGCTTGGCCGCTCCGGCCGCCGACTTCTTTCCCCTCTTTCTGACCGCGTCATCTCCATATACCTCTCCCTCCGGATCACGGGGCCGCCCAGCAACCCCGATTTGAGAGAGCCGAGGGAACGTGGACGTGAGCGGCAACTGCGATGCGATGTACCACGATGTAAACGGAAAGCGCATGACACAAGTGGAACCAGGTGATGATTCTAATATTTTTCTGACCGTCAGGTGCTCTGGCAACTGTTAGTTACTAAATACCTAAATGTCTACCCGCCTGCTAAAGCACCGACATGAGGCGTAATTACGGCTAATCAAACTCGTCAACACCCTCGCAGTAATTAACGTCTCCGGCAGCTTCGAAGCGGCTCGACAAAATATTGAAAGCCCGCTCAGGTATGTATTTTACTGTTATGCCCGCTTATCGGATCTGTTACAAGTTGCCTGTGAGTAGCATGCGCCATGCCTAATTCAGAGCTGGTGGAACCAAACAAGACATTAAGCGCACGCTGCATATATGTACCTGGTAATTTGATAAAAGGTTATTTTAAAGTTTCTTTTACATTAAAAAAAAGGTCGGCAACGCGCACGCACCAAGTATGCGGCGGTTAGCAAAGACGCTGACCTAAGAGATGGCGTTGGTTACCGGCCTATTAAAAGAGAAAAACGATGCTGCGACACACCCAGCCATTTAAACATCCAAGATCCTGCCTGTGCCGAGCTTATTGTGTTCACAGGGAGCGGTCCATATTCCCCCTAGTAAAGTATTTGCCGGAGCCATCTTCTGGGCAGCCCTCGAACATTTCTTACCCGCCTATATGTTTTTATCATTTTTCATGTGTTGTTGCTTTACTTTGGGGTTGAAAAAATTCCCACAATGTTGTAAGTATTCTTTTCTCATAGACAGTGCTTAGATTTGATATGACAGATATCGCAAAACCTTCGGTCTATAGTCGAAGACATCAACAAGGGGTCCGATTTTGGTCAAGGGGAGAAAGAGAGAGTTCTGGACCTCTGATTGGACGTGGTGCCGCAACTTGCGTGTAGTCAACTAATAAGAAAACATTTTTGACCCTTGCACGAGTTCAGAATTGGGCAAAATTTTGGCGAGACAGTCCGACCAACTCCCAAATAGCGTGAAAGGTCTTGCGGCCTCTGACATACTTGGCCTTAGTAGTACTCGTTCAGCTATCGGTCGACGTGAGCTTCTGAACAGCAACAAAACAACTTGAAGTCTTCAAAAGAAGCGCAAGTTGGTTATGGCTTTCGACGTGAAATAGCAGACAATCTCGATTTCGGCCCACGTCCGATCTCACTCCGCCGCAGTGTCCGGTGCGCAGCAGACAATCGACTTTTTTTCAGTCCGTTAGCAGACGCCATACGGTGTTTTCTCGTTTTATTTCTGTCCGCAAACAACGCTACGTAGCAGACTAACTGCATTCATTGCTCACGTTAGTGGATGAACCGTCTACGAACGCTAACTCTCTCTCTGCGAAAGGCGAATTAGACCTCGCTCTCTTCCTCGTGGTGACCATAATCGGACACCTCTAGATGCTCCGCCTCGAACGCGAGCTATCTCATTTCAATGACACTGTCACACATGCAGCCATATGCTGGTGGAAGGCAAGAAGTGCATTCTGGAGGCCTGTCATGTGTAGTATCCTAGTTATAATTGCTGTCGCTCTAGGTGGCCGGAAGTGGAGGGCAAGTGGCGCCCTCTACAAACAACAATTTTAACTAAGATACATCACCAACTATAGTTATACACAGGTTGGAAGCGTTCCAGGTCTGCCCCAATAGATGGGTCCACCCTGTCAGTGTGTTCAGCGGTTACACGGGAATGCAACGTCCTTAAGCACACTCAAACACCAACGTGAAAGCCAACTTTAGCACGCAACGCACAAACAGAGTCACCGTCTGGCATCGGAACATTGAATTCCTCGTCTTCCGTGTGTCTCAGAGATCCACGAGACACTCTCGTGAACCGAAATACGCTGAGCATTGATTGAAGCGACCCGTTTCTTGAGATTACGCTCAGCTCGAGCGTAATCTTTTTGAGATTATGCTCTGACCTGGTGGTGGGCAACTCAGCCAGTTTGTCCAGTCTAGTCTTTCAGTTGTTGGGGGTGTCAAAAATTGTCAGCTAGAGGATACATGTTGGCAATGATTCTGGAGTCGCTGATGTCACGCAGGGAGTGACTATAGTCTCGAGTATTTCGTTATCGCTCCTTGGCCAATGGAATGGTGGCATTAATCGATAACAACTCTGAAAAACAAATCACGAAGCGAGAAGCATGAACACAATGGGCCACGTCCCATGCTTAAACTGCATGCGACTGTAGTTCGCGACTTTTGGGGCAGTTTTGATTTGATGCGTGCACAGGGGTGCCTCTTGCCGGCAACTCTGTGCAGTGTACCTCTGCCTCGGCTGTGAGAAATGTCTGTGATGCTCGGTGCTTTAAAACTTGAAGGTCGAAAACTTTACACTTTTGTTTTGTGTATTATAACCAGTGTTTCGTGTTTCCGAATAAATCCGAAAAACTCGGAAAACGCTTGCTGGTAACATTTGTGTCAATTCTAATTTATCCAATAAACTACTAATTTCATAACCGCAATGTAAAAAAAAAAATTGTGCTCTACAATGAAGTTTGTTCAGAGCACAGGCTCACTGGTGCTAAGGAGAAACCACTTCAGTTTTTTTTTCAGTTTTTTTTTCAAATCTTCCATCATCGCTTATCTCTTCAAAGTTCGGTCAGGACAACGCGTCATTCTGCAGTCTGGGTCACGACAAAAAAGAAAAAAATTTGAGCCGTTGCAACAGGCATTTTGTTGAAAGGAGCTACATCTATGAATGAGTAGACGGCGCTGAATGGCCGCAGTGGGCCTCGCTTCTGACCGAGGAAGTCAAGAACGTCCCGTTTCAACAGAGGTACCTTTTGGGGCAATGTAGGAAATAAAGGGACCAAAACTCGACTGGACTAGTCAAGGGTGGCGTGCCCGAGAGTGGGACAGTAGACGGCTTTTATGTACCAACTTTAAACTTCATTCACCCCTTAGCTGACAGGGCACTGGAAGCTACATGCTCGGTGAACCAGCCAATTGTCAGTCTTGCATCACTTATCATGCCCTTTGCTCATACAGATGTGCAGAGAGGACATGAGGCAATAAAAGCATGGCCCACCAACCACATGGCCTCTACCGCCATGTCAGCGTAGGGATGAACGGAGCATAGAGGCGGCAGGGGTTGGTGGGGTCGGCTGAGTGCATCTGGCATAGCAGCTCGGCAGTGGTGAGTTACTAGAGCACTTCTGACGCGGCATACCACTTTCATGCTGCTGACCACAAACTTTTCACGTCGCCTTGCAGTGGCTGCTGCATAGTTAGCTGATAAGAGCTTGATTTGTTTGTGCGACAGCTCAAAATTGACCATTTTTGTTATTCTCCTAGGCAAGTAAAAATGATGCCTAGAAATGACCC